CCATTAAAAATCAAACGATTAAGAAACTAATAGTATACGTATAAGTGGAAATATTTATTCGTTCATTGGCAAATTTCTATATTTTTTGCTAAGATAATAAAGCGTATGTTCCGGCAATAAATGTCTGCTTTAATTACTTTTAGAACGTTAATCGTTCGAGAGGTAGAAGTAAAACACTAACATTCTACGGTGCAATAAACTACTGTTTTGCACATTTATGATGGTATATTGCAAAATTCATTCATATACTACCTACGCATTAAAAATATATAGAATTGCATGTTAATTATAAAAGTGTCAATTTATTTTTAGGACATGGCGTTGTTTATATACGAGAAAGATAATCTGAGTACGCACAAAAATTATGTCACACAAAGATAAATATATATATGTAGCAATTGTAGGCGCAAAATTGAATTCCTTGCCAGAAAATATCATTCAGGTTTTGAACGTTATTATTATTATGGGAACATTTTAAATTAATAATTATTTCCCACTAATTTCCCACTAATTCCAATGATTAAATTAATGAGTCGAAACCGGTCATTTGGGTGACGATAATTAGCTATAGTATTAGTTCTCCATAAAATGTATAAAAGATAATATACGTTATAATCCACCCACAACTAGAAAACGGCTCATGCAAATATTCATTCTGTTATATAAGATGTTACCCCAACCACCTCCGAATATCCCATTACTGCATTCCCGTTGCAATGCTTATATTGATAAGACCGTCGCGTTGCCCGACTCTCAATCGGGGACACGAATTTCACTCGTCAGAGATTTCGTCACTCTCGTTGTCCCGGCAAGACGCACGATATCGTTGCAATTAGCCGGTCGTTTCTGGACAACAACCCGAGCGCCGATTAAAATTGAACAGCAGCAAAAAAAGAATGAGAAGCTGCAAAACTGCGTGACTTTCGTAACCATCGAATAGACTCGCGCGCGGTTCTTGGTCAGTGAACGTAACGGTTCAAAAGTTGTGTATAGCCGTACACACACGATCAAATTTATTCACACTGTTGATGTCCTTTTACGCATCGATCGCTTGTCCGTATCACTTTTCTCGTTTTTGTTCCTTTCCAATTCTTTTTTTTTCTCGCCCTGTTAAACGAGAGTCACAGTATCGAGGAAAAAAAGGCGACATGAAACGTGACATTGATTTATTCGATGTGACGAAATAAGTCTTCGTTAGGTGACTAGATACACCGATCATAAAGCAGCTGCGCTAATGGGATTTCTGATCGGGACCGAGTTAGCCACGACTATGGAGGGTTAACGAAATTAATTGCTGTTTTATTTATTGTAAGAAAAGATCCTCGACAAATTGGTCGTTTGTACAGAAAATTCTCTCCAATTGTCCCTTAGCTTACAAGCGAAACTGGACAATTTGAAAAGAGGCGGTACGATCATTCGAGCCTTGAGGCTCGTTTTCGTAGATCGTCAACAACTATAAAAACGAGCTGCAGGTCTCGAATAATCCTAAATTGTCCATTTTCGTGCACAATCTAAGCGTCAATTAGGGAGACATTACTGTACTTTGTTTAACGTTACGAACCTTTGAACGCGACCAGCATCCCTTGCCGCCTTGTTTTTCATTCGAATCGGGAAAAAGGCGCTCCAGGTACGCGCGAAGTTGCAAATTCGGAAGGTGAATGTTAATTACGAAATTACCATGCGTACTTTTACCTTGAAAGCACGCTTTCGCCTTCAACTTCGGATCTTCCACGCTGCCTTCGTTGCTGAAGTAAGGGAATGTGGGGCACAATCGGACCCGTAATGCATATTTCTTGTTAACAAGTACCACACGGCAAGGAAAATATTTAACAGCGCCGAATATCTTAGCCCTTATAGAATCAGAAAATGGAAGTCCTTTTATAAAAGAAATTATTTGGCTCGCAGGGAAACAATGTTTTCTCGAATGTAGTCAAATATACGGTTTTGTCCCATAGGTGCGGGTAATACTGGATACTTGTTAAATAACGAATATAATGTAAAATGAACATAAAATTTGTATTTCTATTTTTTCCAAATAAGTAACAAATGTTATTCTCGATTCTATTTTGTTTTAGATCTATTTTATAATTTATTTTCGTGAACAAAAATCGCATATATACGTCCCATTGCTCTCATCAGCCCCTCAACAACTTTTGTGTGCCCATCCGAGGCATTTAAACGCACTAAATCCACCTTTCTGCGGATTCAGAGTTACTAAAAAGTTAAATTTGCTTTTTCCCTCGTCGTCAAATATCCGGTTTTGCCCCAAACGAGATACATTGCAGAAGATTAAATATTTATACCTTAACAAGCGATTTGAGAATTGAACAATGCATAAAAAAATGTTACGTAAAGACTGAAAAATACGATGCAATACCGTAATGGATTATTTATTACCAAGTGTTGGTAAAAAAAGATAATTCACAAGCACAACACTGAAATATTTCGCCTCCGAATTATTTAAACTACGCTCTACGAAAAATAACGATGTATTCTGGTCTGTGACTGGTCAGAAACTATCGGAAAATCGTTTCCAAATGAGAACTGCGTATCGCAGCTTTCATCTTCGAAAAACAACGGTAATTCGGTTTGGACCGTGTATCCGATTTTGTGCGGTATTCTCGTGGCTGCTTCCGGTAATGACGTGAAAGTACGCTTCCATGGTTCTTCCTGAGCGACTAATAAGAGTGGAGTGCGATCGATCAATTAAAATCGATCCAGTTACTTCGGCAAATGAAGATTAAATAAATCTCTACCGCCGTAATTATTTGTAAACAAGAATTACTGGCTAATTAAACCAGAATTTCACGTATGAACACGATAGACTCTACCTTGTAGAGCAGCCGGTTCAACAGAAAAGAAAGTAAAAATATCGCACGAAAAAAGACTACGAACAATGAGGAGCGAAGAGGCTCGCAACAACGATATTCTAACCGTGTATCTACATCTGTAAAACAATGGGGGGTTCACCTTAGTTGGAGATCATTGTATTATACATAGAATGTAGAACGTCAGCGGCCACAATGAAGCTCTTGTAGGAAGAGGAAATTGCAGCGTGTAAAAAAAAATGTAACGCCGCCGAAGGCTCGTTCCGGCAATAGTGGACCCCGTTGCTTCGTTTTGATCGCATTAGAAAGCACCGCGCGGATTCGTCGTGCCGCGGAGAATCGTCAAACGCTCCTCGTCTATTTCTGTTGTTGAAAAATGAGCCAACGAATGGCGAAGGATCGGTCGCCGTTCTCGTTACGCTGGATTCGTTGCATCGATTGCGCAAGTTCGTGACCCGGCTGTAGCCTTCGACGCTTTCGTTCTCCGACGATTGTCACGAATTCGGTCTTGTAACTAATTAAGCGACGTTTCGGTTGTCGTCCGAAGAAATTCTATAATATATTGCCTACAACGCTTGCACGCTTTGTCAGCCGTTTACCTTCCTCCGTTGCACAATGTCACACTGCATCGTTCACGTTGCTGGCAATTATGTTGGGCTATCCGAAAAGTACATTCCATTTCGGGATTAAAACTTCGACCGTCGAATCGGAACCCTCAAAAATCGCACAACCTCGAATGCAGTTTGGTAATTTGGAAACTGAAATTGGAAAGTTCGAATTGAATGATCGCTTCTTTAATCCTTTTACGTGCTATGCAAATTCGAACGAAGTTTAGGTTGCTGGAATATTTCACGACACGAAGTTTCTAAACCTGGTTAAACTCTTGTTATCATTGTTTACCATTGTTTCCACAATTACGGTGATTAGAACATTTTCGATCGCAATCAATACTGAGAACAAAGAGGATATTTATATTTAACGACGACAGAACATAATAATCATTCTGACTTAAAAAACGCAATAAGATTCATGCTTAACCGGTTGCCACTAGAAATCTCCATTAAAAAACTATAATAAAAAAAAAATTAAAAAAAACTATATATAAAATAATAAAAAAAAACTATAATAATAAAACTGTAATAACGAGGTTGCGGATTTTGTGCATTTCTGAGACAAATTAGTCGATCAGATTCAAAACGATAAAAACGTTCGAAGAAATTAAAAGCTTACAAAAGAAAACTTACTTGCAAGAAAAGTTTAGAGCGACGATAATTAATAATTTTAGAACGGTCTCCTAGTTATGAAATATCTTCGAACCGGCTGCGTTCAATCTCCAAACTAGTCCGACAGGATGTTGTTATAATGTGAAACTCGATTTATCGGTGCCCCCTTGAAGTTCTGGCAACTTCGCTGAATACGACAAGGTTTAGGCGACTGATCGAAGGTCAATGAGCAAACGAGTCCAGTTTCTAGATAAGAAACAAAATAAGGTCTTGTTTTATTTCCTTTATTTAACATTGATCTAGAGTGGGCGCGTCAAACTCGTTTACCACCTAAGGCCGCATTAAATACTACTTACATTGTAGTTACACACACAAAATGTCATAGTACAATCGTATCAAAAAGTGACTCCAAGAAAAGTATTCGAACACTTTAAAACAGAATAATCTTTTTAAAATTAGGCTCGACGACTTGGATTTAAAGGAGTTGGAATAAGTATATTATTTGTATGTTTTCTTGTTATTCCAACCGTCTATAATCTTTGCAAAAGTTTTTTTTTGGAGTTGTCTAGTAAACCGGTGCCTTTAACATCTCAAAAAAATTCAAGTTGTTCGGTCGAATTTTAAAAGTTATTTTGTTTCAAAATGTGCACGAACATTCTCTGGTGGCACCGACACGGCTGATCTACGGAAATACGAATTAACATAAACCGTCTACAAATGTGCTTTACAAATGAATTATTATTATTAGTAAGTTCATCTACTACGAAGCTATTAAAATGATGCGAATGCACAAAGAGACCCTCGTAACAGTGAAAAGAAGATAAGATACTTAAAACGATCATTACTTTAAAACGATGTTAATAAATAACAGCGTTAAAAAAAATAGTGTTAAATAATGTTAATAAAATAATTGTTTTTAAATAATAAATTGTGATCGATCTGTTTATAGATGAGTTGCAATTGCCCGCTGACACCTTCGACCGGGCCTACGCTTGCATCGACATGCGGTGGTCCATCCTTTATGCTATTTATGGGTCTTCTCGAGGTGTTCCTACGCAGCCAGTGCGACCTTGAAGATCCTTGCAACAGGCCTATACCGCCGAACTCCGTCAACTCCAGGTAAAACTGATCAAGGTCAAGCTCGAATTATGTTTCCTATCGGTGTAGGGTTCACGGTCGGACAAAACGATAGAAAAATCATGACCTTCGATCGAGATGATGACGTCAAAAACTTGTTTCACCTAACCAGGGAGAAACTGAGATTGCCACGCGTAGCTCATTCGTGGATGAAAAATAGATCTTTGAATTTTACGTACTTCATAAATAGTTGCGCGAAAAATCCTGGGATAATGCTTCTTCGATTTTGCTCTTTACATATTTAATCGATAAATTATCTATTGTTTATAGTGACTCATTCTTTAACATTTTGCAACATAAATAGGAGAAGATCAAACCTTTCAGAGTATCTCAGCCAAGAAAATTGGAGAATTTTCTCCATCGGAAACGTTACTTCAGCTTAATCACACTGGACGAAAGATGTCGAATTTGAATCAGCGTCCAAAGTAGAACTAACTTACACCTTCTAAATATAATTGGCAACACTAATAGAACTACGAATATTTTTTTTTTAAGATATATAACCAAATCATCTTTTTCTCTTTATATTAGAGATTATGGCGTCTGATGAGTGCAACGCAGTGTATATAATATAGTAAAATTGTATATATATATATATTATAATATATATATGTATATTATATATTATAATATTTTTCGTTGCAAATAAATGCTTCGATAATTCTTTCAACAATCATATTTGCAATTTTGATCGAATATTTTCTGCCAGGAGTATGCGTTTGATAGCGGATCTCTTAAATATACGGTACGTCTTAACATGCTCCGTTGTAGCAACTCAGTTGGGCGCAATTAACGTTTTAAACGAGGGTACGAAGAGAATAGGAATGCTGAGCTATACGAAGAGGAACACGAGACTTTGAAATATTGTAGGGAAATGAGTGGAGGAACAATACAGAAGCAAGGCTTAAACGATTAGGTTGCTAGGGAGGGCTGAATAGCGGAGGGAACAAGGAAAGAAATAAACAGAATAGATTGTTAATATTGGAAATAGGGAAATACGGCCAGAGATCAGAAAAATAGGCATTCTATCCCACTGAACAGAGAACTTCCATGTAAACTCGTTATGTCTCTTTGTCCTTTAGTGTGTGATCGCATTCCGGCCAAGCTGAGATGCAGTGAAAGTGCCAATTATGTTCACGGTTTCGAGATTAATGCAAATTATGATTGTGATGCGGGTGTTCGCAACTCGCCGTCTAAATAGATTCACATTTTTAATTGGACTTTGCAGCTGCACGGGAACTGTGTTTGCAAAGTTATGTTTTTATGTTATTTATGAGTGTGTCTGCTGCAACGTCCTTGGCAAGAAAAATAAGCTTCTATTTTGGATCTGTATAACGTACAGTGGTGTGCATATAATTATAAACTCAAATTATTACCGGTATATAACTATTTCCTATTACTTCTAATACATAAATATACAAGCATGTATAGTTACTATTATTTCTAATTTCTAAATATGCAAATATGATATTTTGTTAAGTTTTTATTTAGACATCACTGAAAACGTAAAAATTACTTTGAACCTATAATTATTCATACCAATGTGTTTTATTAAATGTGCGCAGGATGTAGAAACTGAAAAGGTATAGTGAAAAATCATTTTATTAAGTTGGAACTGACATATCAATATTTTTATATTACTCTATGTTTCACCTATGCATTTCTCCCATAAATCCATAAAATCCGCAGTCTAGACACGAATGCATAAAACCCGTAGTCTAGTCGTAAATACATAAAATCCGTAGACGACTTTTACTTAGCCGAGTCACAGAAGTATTTCAATTTCGCTTTACAATCGGCTTAACCGACATCAGCGCGAAAGTAACGCCGGCTCTGTAATCTGAGAAAATATTAAAATGCATTATTTCGACGCGTAACTAGGTTAAAGTACCGGAAGAGGATGGCATAAACGCAAGAAAAATGGCGTAGCGCAGGAAATCAAAAAAGGGAACATTTGCATGTATCGGTAGCTCTTGCGGTGTACTTGATAAAGTTATTGGAGCGAGGAAAAGACCGGGTCGATGTGTGCAGCAGACCAACCGATCCTTTCTCGAGGACCTGTTGACCGATGCCTGGACGAGAGACAGTCTTAATTGTCGGTGACACGGTTCACGTAATGCCATAGAAACTCCGGGTCTTGTCTCCCTCTCGGAAGTGAGCATCCATGCACGACTATCCGTAAAATTGTTGCGTACGTGTGTCTACGTGTAATAGCCCGGGGCCATTGTTCCGATGATTCTCCCACGTTACATCACATCCAGCCGATGCATCCGCGTTTGCACTTATGTATACCGGATGCGGACTGAAGCAACCGGCGGCGCCCCGAGCCTATTAGATCTTCGTCGCGGCTCGAGAAAACCGAGAATGATAGCGAATGATAATTGGAAGAGATTGAAAGTCCATCAAAACCAATGGACCGTGAAGCATTCCGTTGAGTAACGCGGAATTCTATTACCATGACCAATGACACTGACAGGCAAACAGTATTCGACAACAGCCAATTACACGATCTGTACAGTATGTACTACAATATTATAATTTCCGAAGCTTGAACTCCGGCGCGGATGAACGCTTTTCATGTTCGTGGAATGTGGAATGTTCTGAAACGATATACAGTAATGTCTCTCTAATTGACGCTCAGATTGTCCAGAAAAATGGACAATTTCGAAAGGGAAGATACGATTATTCGATCCTCGCGGTTCATTTGTATAGTTACGAATTGTCGACAACTATAAAAAACGAGCTGCGAGGCTCGTATAATCGTATCTCCTCTTCCCGAATTGTCCATTTTTGTGCGCAATCTGAGCGTCAGTTAGGGAGACATTACTGTACGTTCCGCCATTAGGTATATGTCGATAAAGTGAATGAATAAATTGAAAGCTACAGTTTTATTTATGCGAGAGCGTATAACTTCTGAATGACACGTGTTTATGCTAATTTTAGTTCTACTATGATTTCACACTTGTTTAACGGTGTTGTATATTTTGTCATTTTTATTAAAATTATTTTGCGATGTATTATTAAGTGAGTGAATAAGATTTCATTCACTGGAACACTTGATTACATAGTAACTATTGTTATCTATTTAATCTTTTTTTATTAACTGCTTGACATACAAATAAAACGGAATTTGATGCGTCCGAAAAATACTATTTAATTTATTGGCTCAACTGAACGGTTATGTGCAAGCTGAGGAGAAGAGAAAGTTTTATTTTGAAATTTGGATTACTGATTTGTGGATGCAACTTTGTTGTCGGTACTATCGACGAGGTGGGAGGGTGGGGCATCTTGAACATTGTAAATAAACCAGAATCGGCGCACGAGCGAAGCAACTGAGTGATCTAATAATATACTGCACGGCGTCCGCCGAAAAACAGCTCTTGACGAGTTAGACTCTTTAAAATCTACGCAAAAGTACGTGAAACGAATGACGACCCCGACTCATCATTGTATCTCACGGGGTTAAAGGATGTTGTTTGGAAAAATTGGAGATACTTTAAAATATTTAACAATTCAGTTACATGCGAGTGAATATAATTTGTTCTATTTCATTCACTGCGATATTAATGAGTAATACATGCCTACGATGTGTTCTACTTTAATTGAACAACAATGTTATCTATTTCTTAACCCTTTGCACTCGAAGCCGTTTTAACTGTGAATCTAAAACAATCTTTCTGGCTTATAGTATTTCTATTTTATATGACAAAGTGCATTTTATGCATATGAAATTGAGTCTCGTAATTCATACAACAGTTACGCTTTTAATCATTTTTTTAAATCTAAACTTTGATAATATAAAAATTATCTTGGAACGCGAATATAACAATTTTAGTGGTGCCTCAGAGTCATCACTCGAGTGCAAAGGGTTAATTTTAACTGAAGAACGTGTGATTGTCTGTCTGGAAAAATTGTACAAATTTGCAGTATTCAAGTTTTTCTTCGGTTTTAAAAATCAAGAAAGAATGAACTACTTTGTAGATTTCTCCATTTGATTCTAACATGAATATCTAAAACCAGTTAGCTGCTTTTGACAAATATACATACCGTAACACAAAATGTTGCCATTTCTTCGTGACAAGTACACTCGTCAAAAACAGCTCACTGATTGAGAAAGCTATATACTTTAATATTCTTTACTAAATTATATATCTTATATATTTTAAACAAGATGTACAGAAAATCAAACGCATACAGTATAATTACAGTAACTTACACACTTTTCGAAGGGATTGCAACAGCTAGTTGCTTAATATCGATCACGTCTGCAATATTGGTCGTCCAATTCTGTCCGAAACAAAAGCCGTCCAGTTTGCTATTGCCGAAGGCAATAGCATACATGTTATGCTATTTTGGTACACTTTCTCTGACGTGAAAAATAAACGCGAATAAAAAAGGACAAAGGAAACGACGAAAACCAATTTGTGAGCTAGGATAAATATTGAAAGCAAATATTTGTGTGGCAGCACAACATGCGGTAGAAAAAATTCGATCAAAATCGTGTACGTGTTTGCTGAAAGAATTGTTGGAGCGTACATTGAAAAGGAGAAATAGTATCGTACGTATGTTAAATAAATATCATAGGAAATATATATGTTTCAGAAAAATAGGAATATCGCTCTGTCTTTTTACCAAAAATACAATAAATCGCTGTCCACAGATATGTCCAATGTTATAGAAACATTTAAACGAAGATGTTCTCGAAATTCACATTTTGAGAACTTAATTCAATTTTACTAACATGTTTAGAACGCAAAAGCGTTAAAGTATCATCCACTATGATAAATTTCAACTTTCTAGTTTCAGATTCGTTAAATAAATTACTTTGGTTTTGAGGGAATTTTTGGATTTGATTTTCGACACTTTAACGCGTTAAGCGACAAGTTTTTTTATCGTTGCATCTAGATTTAACTAACGAAAATATCTTCCGCGTGAAACGTAGGAGTAGCCGGAATGATAGACGTTCATAACGTTTAATCGAATAGTTTCTGCCAGAGTACAACATACATTCATGACTTAGGCTCACGTTTCAGTGCATAAAAGTAAGTTGTCGTCCCCCAATGAGGCAAACCTATGCTGCACAAAGTGCGCACGTCTGTACGTGGCTCGTGGCATTCAAAATACCATTACTACTTCACACGAGCGTCTCCAACGAACTGTGCTGAGAAATCCACCTTTCGCTTGACTCTGCCCCTAGCCGAGGCTCTCGTTCCTTTAACCCAGTTTCTAATTCGTAAGACATTGTAACCAGAGTCTTTTCTTTTTGTCGTCGAGGGAACAACAGCCGGCTAGTGAACCTGTCCCCTCGGAGAAAATGAAATCGCCAATGTAACCTTGTCCAAAGGAGCGGCCCACCTTTTAGTTTTACACAACACGGTGTTGCATTGTAACCGCGAAACAAGTTGACTATTAATGGAAAACACTGCTGGTCTTTCAAATGCTAAATGAAACTTTATACAAATCGGTTGCAATCGTATTGCAAGAGTAGTTTACAAAATGAAATAACACAAAAGTATTTTGCATTCTTATGTTATATTATATCGAAAGATTGCATTGTAACCGCGAAACAAGTTGACTATTAATGGAAAACACTGTTGGTCTCTCAAATGCTAAATGAAACTTTATACAAATCGGTTGCAATCGTATTGCAAGAGTAGTTTACAAAATGAAATAACACAAAAGTATTTTGCATTCTTATGTTATATTATATCGAAAGATTGCATTGTAACCGCGAAACAAGTTGACTATTAATGGAAAACACTGTTGGTCTCTCAAATGCTAAATGAAACTTTATACAAATCGGTTGCAATCGTATTGCAAGAGTAGTTTACAAAATGAAATAACACAAAAGTATTTTGCATTCTTATGTTATATTATATCGAAAGATTGCATTGTAACCGCGAAACAAGTTGACTATTAATGGAAAACACTGTTGGTCTCTCAAATGCTAAATGAAACTTTATACAAATCGGTTGCAATCGTATTGCAAGAGTAGTTTACAAAATGAAATAACACAAAAGTATTTTGCATTCTTATGTTATATTATATCGAAAGATTGCATTGTAACCGCGAAACAAGTTGACTATTAATGGAAAACACTGTTGGTCTCTCAAATGCTAAATGAAACTTTATACAAATCGGTTGCAATCGTATTGCAAGAGTAGTTTACAAAATGAAATAACACAAAAGTATTTTGCATTCTTATGTTATATTATATCGAAAGATTGCATTGTAACCGCGAAACAAGTTGACTATTAATGGAAAACACTGTTGGTCTCTCAAATGCTAAATGAAACTTTATACAAATCGGTTGCAATCGTATTGCAAGAGTAGTTTACAAAATGAAATAACACAAAAGTATTTTGCATTCTTATGTTATATTATATCGAAAGATTGCATTGTAACCGCGAAACAAGTTGACTATTAATGGAAAACACTGTTGGTCTCTCAAATGCTAAATGAAACTTTATACAAATCGGTTGCAATCGTATTGCAAGAGTAGTTTACAAAATGAAATAACACAAAAGTATTTTGCATTCTTATGTTATATTATATCGAAAGATTGCATTGTAACCGCGAAACAAGTTGACTATTAATGGAAAACACTGTTGGTCTCTCAAATGCTAAATGAAACTTTATACAAATCGGTTGCAATCGTATTGCAAGAGTAGTTTACAAAATGAAATAACACAAAAGTATTTTGCATTCTTATGTTATATTATATCGAAAGATTGCATTGTAACCGCGAAACAAGTTGACTATTAATGGAAAACACTGTTGGTCTCTCAAATGCTAAATGAAACTTTATACAAATCGGTTGCAATCGTATTGCAAGAGTAGTTTACAAAATGAAATAACACAAAAGTATTTTGCATTCTTATGTACATTATATCAAAAGATTGCAATCGTATTGCAACGAGTAATGTTCCAATTGAAGTAACACAAAAGTATGCAAAGTGATAGACTTCGACTAAAAGTTTCATTTTCTATGGGAAGAAAAATTTTAATATAAAACGATGCTTGTCTTCTGAATATTTAATATGTGTTTCTGATATTCTTATATTAAATTTTGTAACATTCACTTCGACCGAATAACAGTGAAATTAATCTGTTACCACGAAATAGGATAGAAATATAATGTACGTGTCACTCGTGATCTTAGTATACCAGTTCTATCGGTTAGATTCTGCTATCTCGAGAAAATTAACTTATCGCGCCATTCGATTAAAACGACGAATATTTATGTTCAGGTACGACTTCGTTGTAATAGGTGGTGGCAGCGCCGGTGCAACAGTCGCTGCTAGATTATCGGAGGAATCACGATTTTCTGTGTTATTACTGGAGGCTGGACTAGACGAACCGACTGGAACGCAAATACCATCGTTTTTCTTCAATTTCATCGGATCTAATATTGATTGGCAGTATTCCACGGAGAGCGAGGATGGTGCATGCCTGAATCAAAATGACAAAAAATGCTATTGGCCAAGAGGGAAAGTACGTAGTCTGAGATCAATATTTCAATAGCAAATAGGTAATATCGAAATGCGAATATGCGATGTTAATCGACTATCATATTAATAAGTTATCTACAACGATCTATTGAACGAGCATTTATCGCATGTTTGTGTGCATGTAAATTACCGAGGTCTTTAAATTTTCATTATATGCTCGGATAAAAATGTTTCCCCCCAATTGCAATTTTTACAAAAATTTATTACGCAATTATGTAGCGAACTAGCCCTTCTATCGCCTCGAAACAAATTCGAATCGTTCGATGCATGCGTAGAAAAGTCATTCCGTTCCAAAAGGTGTTCACATATGTATATTTGTTTACGACCGTACCCTGTCATCATTATTACCTTGTATCGCAATCAATTGATACTTTATGAACTATAGAATGGAGTTTATTATGAATGTTAACGATATTTATGTAAGCGGCAATTTATTTACGAGTCGTTGTCCAACGCTTTCTAGATCGAATAAATAAATTATAAAGTTACCCCGCTGAGAAATGTAATCAATTATTTATCGATACAAAGAATGACTGCGCGTTCCAAGGGATAGTTATGCAAGTGTAACACTTTCCATCTAATGAAATTCTTTAGGTACTAGGAGGCACCAGCGTCATGAATGGAATGACATACATGAGAGGTTCGCGAAAGGATTACGATGACTGGGCCAGGCTTGGCAACGTAGGATGGTCTTATCAAGATGTCCTTCCATATTTCATCAGGAGCGAAGATAATCTTCAGGCGAACACTATGGATTATGGTTATCACGGCGTCGGTGGACCTCTTACGGTTACGCAGTTCCCTTATCATCCACCATTGAGCTACGCTCTCCTCGAGGCTGGAAAGGAACTAGGTAAATATACGTTACACGTCTTTTGATTGTCTTCGATTATCTGCAATGCTGTCGCGCAACGAATTTTGTCCGAAAAGCTATTATATGTGTAGTTTCATAAAGATAATACAGATAATAAATAATCCGAATCGCAATTTATAATCGGAAAATCACAAGGAACTATGTTTACCGATAGACAAGGCCGAAAAGAGACTTTCCTAAATTGTTATTAATAAACTGCGGATTTTATGCGTTTATAACAAACATGATCGGGTCAAATACAAAATAGTAGAAACAATTCAAGGAATTTAGAAATACTGTTGCGTTGTTTTCAATTCATTGAAATTATTAGAAAACGAAATAACAATGTTATTTTGCATAAAAATCCGCGATCTAGTTACATCCGCGCCTAGAGTAAGTAGAAGTGCCGAATAGTGATCAGACAAGTCGGCTAAAGCGCACGCTTTAACGCGTGTACCCAATCAAAATTCAGATATAATTTTTCAAGATCAGTTCACGTATCACCTTTATTCTATATCTTTCATATTTTTTTATATCTGAATTACTATCATTCGAATTATCTTCGTAGGAAATTATTCTTTCGTCAGTTACATGTGCCACCGGTTACAACGCATTCTGTGTCGAATTAAGATTGTAATTGAATTCGCGTTTAATGAACAGGGCGGCCAACAATTGTATTCGAGAAGTAACAAGAAGTCGCGCATTAAAAAATTCCAACACGGTAAGAATTAATAATGAAGAAAGAAACGAACGGTGGCCATAATTTGTCGGATCCGCTAACCTCTTATTAAACTCGAATTTATCACAAGCATCGCAATCTGGACGAAGCGAAAAAGAACCGTCGCTCAAAACTGGTCGAAGAACCACGCTCCCCTTAAGCGAATCACACGGAACCAGTTATTACGTGACGGCGAGGAACCGTTTCTTTTTTATTTACCTGGTACAGTTCACTTAGATCTAATGAACTGTTTCGACGTTCGTCGAAAGAGTCGTTACGTGAACGTTGCTCACGGCTAATGAATTACGACATCGATCTCGCCAGCCGGCGTTTCATCACAGTCGAATTATCCGCCGGAAAACGCAATTCGGCAATTAATGTACGCCGCCGGCCTTGTTGCTACTTGTAATTGGCGCTCGATTTAGTTGCAACGAAAACAATTTGACCACGAACGATCAAGGTTGCTATCCTTGAGCAATATCGGGTCATTAACGGCGTGATCGAAAATCAAATTGACGGAATCACGCTTGACTTATGTCGTTTATACTTAATTATTAGCGCTGGATCTGTGCAAAATGTGACTATTTTATATTATAAAATTAACAAGAATGTCTTCCTTCAGAATTTATTGAATTTATGCTATTTGCAATCTGAACACCGGTATATTAACAAATTTGGAACTCGTAATTTAATAATTAAAACCATTTTTTAAACCTCGTGTAGCTCTCGTATAAAATAAAGCGACAAACTTTGGGAAAAAATAATTTAATTGACGCGCAATATGTAATTACACGAAATAAGATATTATTTGTGCATCAAACGTAATTACAATTGTGCATCACAAGATAGAGGAGCTACATACACATATACATATCACTTTTCTAAACGATTTTAATAAGCTAAAAATAATACAACGATATATATAGTTTTTAATTCCTTGAATGGGTTTCACTTTTTTACATTTGATCTACACAGGTTTCTCATAAACGCATAAAAATCATTTTTTTAGTATAATCCGAATACAATGATGAATGTCTTTTCGCGTTGTCCCGCGTTTCGATAGCCAACTGAATCGATTGCGTGTAGACACAAGCAGCGTTGCACGTGTCGGATTTTAAACGCACTATACGTGTTGAATTTTAAAAAGCGCAGCACGTTGCACGCAGAATAGAAAACGCTTGTAAAATTAAATCAATTCAAATGCATAAACGTATTCGAATGGTTTACATGGAAAAAAGCGATACGCGGCATGATGATCGTTCGTCTATTTCAAGCTTGAACTATTAGGTTATGGAACAAGTTCGAAATATTTTTGAGTTCGAAATATTTTGTGACGGGATTGTACCGTTAGCTGTATTGATCGTAGATCTTTATGCAAAATAATAATTTTATGCAAGAAACAGCGGTTTGGATTGGGTTGTTCTCAATAATTATAAGAAATTGATTTTAAGGCAACAGTGTTCGCTGAAATTCTTCTGACGTTTTTATGTTTTATATTTTAATTTTTGTCATTTTTTCTCTTCTACGTAACCACTTGCCATATGATTAGGCAACTAGAATGATTAGAGCTTCTTTGTCATCCATAGTTTCCTATAAAAAATATGTATATATATTTTCCTCTAATTGTTAAATATTGACAAAAGAAACAGCAGATTAGAATTTTATTTCAGATTAAAAGAAACGGAAAAGTTACGTATCCAATAAATCGTGCTTTTCGTCACGGGACTGACTCGATGTTACAATGCGCGTGGTTAAAATGACACATTTGGCAAGAAGGGAAATTAATTATTGTTTGACTTGCTTTCAGGATACGGGAACGTAGATCTGAATGGACGAACTCATACCGGATTCGCAATTGCTCAAACAACCTCTAGAAACGGTTCCCGGCTTTCGACTGCTCGAGCGTTCCTTCGGCCGGCTAGAAATCGGCCAAATTTGCATATAATGCTCAACTCCACGGCAACCAAAATCCTATTCGACAACAACAAAAGAGCGGTCGGCGTGGAATTCGTTCACGACGACAAATTCCATCGCGTATCGGTGGCCAAAGAAGTCATCATAAGCGGAGGTAATTACGTTACATAATAAGAATCATTAGAATTTTCGTAATGTGACTCCAGTATACCGTTTAAAACGAGTGTACTCGATTCCATTGATCGACGCATCTCTTCATTGACAAGGAAGTTATACGTATGGTAACTAGACTGTTATAATGCTATACCATTACCACCACGGATCTTTATGCAAAATGAGATGCCATGATTGCGAAAGTGATTTCCTTGAGACAAGCACAATCTATCGATAGCGCATTTGTTGCTATTATACATACAATAGTATACAAAGAATACTACGTAATAATAATATAGGGTAGTAAAAACGGTGTTACCATAAGGTGCCCAATTGCTGTGCCTTCGGTTTTCTTCGGGCATAATTAACTTTAAAATTGAATAAGGCGTATTAAATTTTAGTATTCTTCTACTTGTTTCTTTTTTTTAAGAAATAAATTGAATATGTCTTGCTCGATAAATATATGTAAATTATACCCGAAAACAAACCGAAGGCACAGCAATATTGGTCATCCTACAATAATCGGCTCCAACAACGGGTATCTAAATATTATTGTTATTATTATTAGCACATCAATAAAAATTCGATCATTTGTATAAAACAGGCGTACAAATTGTATGGAAAGTGTAAAATATGTACATACGATATTCGAAGCGTCGAGTGTGCTACCGAATATAATTATCTAAAGAACCACCTTCAACCTGCAAAATTATCACGTAAGTTTATGGAACTTGTCCTCTGTATAATACTTCGACCGATAGGTGCAACTTTACAACTGTTACATTATGCAATGTGACTGACAACTTAGTATTTCACTATCACTTTTCTTGGCACAAGGTGAGCCTAATGAAACCAGTAATATTTTTAAATATTCAGTTATAGCGACTCTGAAAAATGGGATTTAGAACACATTCCTTTCTTATAATCATTTACTAAATATAACAATAAGTTCAAAACCGATGTTTTCTAAATGCTAATGAATTACTAGACGGTACGTACATCCAATGACTTTTTAATTTCAACATCTTTTCACCTGCGAAATATTTTGAAGATCATTGCAAGTCGAATATCTTTATTTTAACCGGAAAAGGTATTGAGAGTCTCTCTGAGTAATTTATATATAGACTGTAGAAATGTTAATAAAATAAAATAAAATGTTCCTCTGCCTTATGCAACGTTCTATAAAATCACCGAGTACTTGTAAAAGGCAGCTACCAATATGCAATTCGTGCTTATTAGACTAGGAAATCAGAAAGGAAATCGTTTCAGTAATGAGATCCATCGGATCTGTAATAACGCACTGACATAAACAGTTTCTCTCTGATTGCTTCATCCAATTCAGTAGCTCGATAATTATATGTATATGAGATCAGAATTTCACGCGCGTCGTCCTTAAACAGATGCGTGATAGCGGTAATTAGTCGATAAATGGTGAAGTTATTCAAAGAACGAAATGTTTCAAGGAATCGGAAATCTTGGCTCAGAACGTTTATCGTACATTTATTATATCAATCTGACCTCGGAAATCTGTATTTAGAAATTCTTCATTAAACGGAGGAAATGTGCGTCTATTAAGCGAAAGCTATTGTATCTCAAGAATGAAAATTAGTTACAAATTGCGCGAAGAGTTCTGCCACTGACAATTCAATGTTATAATACTGTGAAGTGTCAGATTACTATCTAAAGTTGTTCAACTTGGTTTCCATTTATTTATACAGCACGAAAATACGGGATATTATTTTATTCTTGCAACAGTTAGCATATCAAATCTAATAGAGGATTTCAACGATGTCTCTAATAATATTCACGCGAATAATTATCCAATGTGTCCCATCCCGTTGTTCTGCGCTATAATTGTTTTCGTCTAACTGAATATCCTGAGTCACTGTTTACACAACAATCAAGCATCGATATCCACGCGGATAATAGAAATTTCGTGTCCTTCGCAGGACAAGTATTACATATAGCAATCGCCGCGAAAGAGGACACGTTCGGTTAATGCGCTATTGATGACTCTTGTGTACACAGGGCAATTATAGTGTGAAGAACATTGAACCCAAGGTTGCCCACGGTTCCGATTTTCGTTACGAGTGGCCTATCGATATCGCCAGTCGCTCGGAGTCGCAATTTTGTCTGGTCATGCTATCCCAAGTGACGCTTCAAAGGCAATTCATCGTCAGTAATTAAATCGATCTGAATACAACACAACTCGTTGCATAAATCAGAAAAGCTTTAATCCTTGGATTGCAGTTGCCGGGTCATTTTGATTCAGTGTATTTCGATGGTCACCGAAAGTAATGTTTATATTATGCAAATTCTTTATCATCGCCGTTTTACAAATATAATTATTATTATAAAATTATATTAGTTTGAAATGTAATTATAACGATTATAAATGAATAAATAATCTTTCATTATAAATGAAAGATAGTATTATATCGTACTTCGTTCGAACGAATTATTGTAAAATAATGTCTCAAATAAAATAACAAATCATTTCACGCAAGATATTGAACTAAATTAATGAATTGATATAAAGCACGAAAGAGTTCCTAGTTTTGCCGCATTTGCTTTCACAAGTGTTCTTGCTTCGAAAAGTTCGTCAGAGAAACGTCCGGTATTAAAGTAAATCTGTATTCCAGACGCAGTCGGTACTGTCGACACGGTGAAAACAGAAAGTATTCGAGATTTTATTTGAATAAGTATTTGCTCGAATGAAAATTAAAACGAAAAATGAATTCCAATGAATTCCAAATAACAAAATAATCCGAGGAAAAATGATTTAAATCTTCGAATTATTTCAAATAATATTTAGCCAGAGAAGTTGCTGTATTATTTTAGCAATTATTTTCTACATAATTTGAACGAAACCAAGCCGGCACGAAAGAAACGGAAACATTTCGTTGCATGGTCACGTTCTCTCGCTCATTCGTCACCTAAAGCGGAAGTGAAATTTTAGAAAAGCGTATGGTCACCGGCTGACGTTTTACCGAGAATTTATTTTACCATGTTCTGCAAAAGGATCGTTGAAAGTTCAACGGCCCGCGAGAAGGCTCCGAGGTATCCTCATTTACATGTCTTTGGCATTTATTTCTTTAAGGTGCCGTAAACTCGCCACAAATACTTCTGAATAGCGGTATCGGACCTCGCGAGGAGTTGAACGCAGTAGGAGTTCCGGTTGTTCATGATCTGCCTGGTGTCGGCAAAAATCTTCACAATCATGTCGCCTACACGTTAGCCTTCACTATCAACGACACCGACACCACTCCCCTCAACTGGGCCACTGCGATGGAGTACCTGCTCTTCAGAGATGGCCTGATGTCCGGCACAGGTAAACAACCTCTTATCCCACCATTTTCTATCTTTTCTTGAAATAGAATCAGCGGTAGAGTGGTGTTAGATAATGATAAATCGAGATGGAATAAACAGGGCGAATTTGATAAGTGGACTGTAATTTTGTTTTTCTCTTTCTTTTTTTATGAAACCATGAGTAAAAATCGTAGATTAATTTTTGAGAGGTCATTGTAAAGAAGATATCTCCCGTGTTTAAGTCATACTTCATCCTGTAAAATGAGGCCAGACAGGATGTTATATAATTATTTAACACGAAATTACAGGGGTGTTTTAAACATCAACAATTTTTCGACTATAATTCCTTTAATTGAATTGTAGAATCTCGATTATCGAAATTAATCGTGGGTGTTCAGATACTAGAACAGTTACCTAGGTATAGCGTTAAACTAAATCTTCACGAATTTGTACAATAAAGCATATTATATGTATATAGATCAAATTCTACTGAAATTAATATCATTTGAGATATATTAACCCTTATCACTCCAGGAACATCTCAAATGAATTGTTTAAGATACTGAAAATAAGACGCTACATAAAAATCTTGTAGTGCTAACATTGTCGATAACGGTAAACAAATATCGAATATTAAAAAAATAGCACGTAAAGTACAACCACTGGCTATATTTGTATATTTCTCGTTCTTGAGTTTAAAGTGAAAATGAAAAAGAAACAGGTTCCATCGGGCCACCAGTCTTATAACCGTCGCGCAGAAAGAGTTTAATACAGTGTCCAGACAGTCTGTAATTATTATGAATGAAGCACTTCCTGGATAGAGAATATCTATTCGCATTTAACAGCAAAAAGTTACGTGCTGCGTAACACAACGACGAAAAAAGTGGCAAGAAGCAACTGAAAGCAAAACTTAAGTAAGATGCAACAAAGAGTAACAATGAGAGGAGAAAAACGAGCTCGGTCGATGCAGTTATGTCCGAAACGATTGATCCAGAGAGGCTCCTTTGCAGATATCCAGTGAAAGCGTATTGCACAATGATCTTGTTCATGTTCACCGATCAAAGATGGTGCAACCGGGTTCCTATCGGTCTGTTTACCGTCATTTAGCCCGAAGCCGACTTAGAAGTCGGTCACAAGGGGGGTCCTGTGGTACTTCCCTACCAGACCGTTCCATGAACCCACGAGGCTGATGATATCTTGAAATGCATCCACGCTGGAACAATATCAGAGACAGTACCACGTCGACATAACTAATTCCGACAATGGGTCTCCGTTGAACTCGAAAATCCTTGCGATTGCATTGACAAAGCAGCGTTGACAAATTACCTACGTTTACCTACCTTCATTTATGCAAATACACGCCTGTAATCAAAATTAAACATGATAAATTTAATTTCAGGGACTCGTTATATCGAGATGTTGCTGCAAGGTGGCCTCAGTAGACTACCTTGCAGCAAATGTAAACATGACTCGTGTTTACATTTTCGAGACATCGTCGCTTAAATATGATCATTTCTTTGTATCGATAGTATCTCCCTGATTTTTTATTTCTTTTCTTAAGCTTATCGAATTTGTTGAACATGATTCGTTTCTGACAAATACGCGAATCCTATACTCTACGGCTCAATTAATGTATGAACTTTTCGTGAATCATTACATGCAGCGTTTGTCCGTACAATCCTGATCATATATTTTATTCTGTAGTCGAAACATGAAAAAGAAATTCAAAATATACATTTACTTTTCTACATTCGGTCAAGTTATATCTGTATATACAGATATAACTTCAAAAAATTCAAAATATACATTTACTTTTCTACATTCGGTCAAGTTATATCTGTATATACAGATATAAATGTATATTTTGAATTTCTTTTTCATGTTTCGACTACAGAATAAAATATATGATCAGGATTGTACGGACAAACGCTGCATGTAATGATTCACGAAAAGTTCATACATTAATTGAGCCGTAGAGTATAGGATTCGCGTATTTGTCAGAAACGAATCATGT